TTTTTGAGGGAAGTCCGTCTACGCTTTTTTCCTTCTGCGGCGCGGAGCCGGGTGGGCCGCGGCCCATGCCAACGGCTACCTCCTCCTTGCTAACCGCTTTTGTTTGTTCCGCGCGGCAGTGCTCCCTCGCTGCTGGCTACAGGCAGGCAGTAGAGAGGCCATGCTAGCCTGCGTTTTTTTTCCCCTTTTTTTTATGAGAAGAAAGATGCTAGGCTGTTTCTGTTCTGTGTCCGCTCTTGTTTCATTGATTGATTCGCTTTTGTTTGCTGGGCCCGTCCCCCTACTTTTTTTCAGCACTTTTTATTTATTACCTGTTGTTGTTAAATCTGACTGACTGACAGCTTGGCGCTTGACCTGACAGCAGGCGCTCTTGTTCTTGCTCTAGGCCAAGTCATATTGTTCACACACTAATTACTCACTCCGTCCGGAAATACTTGTCATCAAAATGAATAAAAAGGGATGTATCTAGATGTATTTTAGTTCTAGATACATCTTTTTTTGTCCATTTTGATGACAAGTATTTTCGGACGGAGGGAGTACTAATTATGAAATTTGTATTATTATCGCATTTAGTGGCGGGTTGTTTACGGCGTCACAGCCAGTTTGTGAGCTGGAGAAATGAAATGCATGCAAAGAGGTGGTGCTTGTTTTAATTGGTGGCAGGAACAAGTACGCATTTTTTAAATGAAATGTTCATAGTGTAAGATTATTGTGCATTCGGTGGTGCATTGCATATGGCCTTTTGCAAGCTGGAGAGATAAAATAGTGGTTGTTTTGATACGGACAAACGGACACACATTAAAATAAAAAAAATGGTGAAGGAACAAGTACGCCTTCGGTTGGCCCATACAGATACAGCTGCGGCAGCAGCTCCAGTAGGGTGTACCGCCGTTTGCCAAAAAAGAGAGTAGGCTGTACAGCGAAGCAAAGCGGCCGACTGTTGAGCAAAGCAACGGCCATTGCCGTTGCCAATCAAGCAGGCAGAACCAGCCTTGCTTTTGGTCCAGCTGGCTGCCCGTCAGAAACACCTGGCAAGCAAGACCAGCCCCAGCTGGCCGTTAACGAAGGGCCGGACAGCGGCACAGGGGGAGAAGCACGAACGAACGGCGCAAAGTTAGGCGGGGAAGGAAGTGCTGGTTACCGACGATCCAATGATCACAGATTTTGGAAGCATTCGTCGTCCCAGCTCAGATCCAAATAGATTTGGTCACCACATGGTCGATGGCATGTGCTGGGTTTTTTTTTAGACAAACTCGCAAAGCCTTTATTCATGATTAATCAAACAAGAAGAAAAAACTCTAAAACGGTCTATGATTTCATGCACCACGGCCCCATATTGTGCACATGTGCCTTTTTTGATCGCTTCGACGGCCATTTTGCAGCCTGACGCCACTGAAATTCTGTCATGGGCCTCCGATGCGCAAGTGCTGGGTGGCAGGACAATTCAAAACATGGGCCTCCGATGCGCAAGTCATGGCTTCTGCTGATGCATGCAAACTTGATACTAAGGATAAATGTGTGTCATGGACCTCCAACTGCTACAACCGTCGGAAGGGCATACAAAGAATAACCTACTAGCGGTTGAGATGAGCTTTCGCTGCTGACACGACACGGCCTCCGCCTGGTGCGACGATTAATTACAATAATATGATCTAGCTTGCTATACACCACCACACCCCAGCAATGCCTGCATGTGGCTGTCTTAGTAAAGGTTAGTAGCCTTCGACCACATTTTTCGCACCAGGAATCAGCTCAAATGCATGAACGATCAAGTTAGCCGATTTGCCGCGATCACACGGCAAACTGCCAACTGCGCCATCCACAGAAGCGACAACCATGATATCTCAACCGTGTCAACTGTCCGGGAGAGCGAGTAAAAGTAAATCAGCGTTGGTAACTTGTCGTCGATTTCTGACGAATCTGCTGCTTCACCACCTTTGCTACAATGGCCTCGTCGGCTTCCTTGTATTCACCAGTAACCCTGTGGCAGGAAATACGACGATGATTTGGTTATTAACTTAGCCATGCAGTTTGAAGATGAGGTAAACTACATAAACCATAATTTGACCCTTTACGAAGGCACTTCAGAAATTATGGAACAAAGCAGGAAAAAATCATTATGTTGAAATGGTTCTGAAGGATCATCAAGAAACCTCAGTTTAGAAAATGATGGAAACAATTAGTTTTGTGATGAGCATACCGGTCATAGGTCAAGAAAGCATCCCCTATTTGCCCAATCACTTTGTTCCGAACCTTCTTCATACAGACCTATGATTCGCCATCCAACCCGGCAAAACAGATAAGAGTCAGGCACTGTCATTAAAATGAAGCATATGTTGAAAAGGTGCAAATATCAACCTGCACGACATCCACAGGGCCAGCATCTGGATCCCTGTTCCGGTGTATGACGATACCATTATCACATTTGTTTATGAAATGCGCACTTCCACTGATGTCGTACATATTAGGCGGTGCGCCGGTCCAGTTGTGAAGCTTTTTAAAACATTAACACCAAATGAGACCCCGTTGTATAGTGCAATTGTGTGGCAAAGATCAATATGGGATTATGTGAAATTTGATTACCTGCCTAGGGTGCGCAACAAACCATACGTGACATGAATGATGTTGAGCAAAGCGCTTAATCTTCGTAAGGATCTGGCTGACATATTCTGTCTCGGTTCTGTTAATAACATAGCAAAGGATTTAACTCACCAAAACAGAAGGGAAACATATGTAGCTGGGTAATAGCAAAGTTATAGTTGACATACTTGCAAAAACGCTACCTATCTTTTACAATGAATGTATGAAACCGCTATTAGTAAACGGTAAATCATGCTCATGAGAGGTTTAGGTAATGCTTACTGATTTGGGGGGCGCTGATGGTCAAGCTCATTATAAGGATCAATCACAAGACCACGTACTCCATGTCTTAGAACTGCAGCTTTAGCAAGATTGAGAACCCAATCGATGGATGGAAGGCAATCATCTTCACACCTGATTAAGCAACACATATTCAACGTCAACTTGAAATGTGAACCACCATTTAATACAGGCACATCATCCAAGAGAAATACAACTACTATCCCTTCCGAGTAAAGTGCCTATGAAGAGAAGCCAAGACACACACTGATGCTACCACACACTTCTAAATAGAGCAGTCCTGATGACTGAAAATAAATATTGATAATAGTGGCAGCTACGAATGTAGCCGAAGATGATGAAGAACAAGTCTTGTGACAATATGTTATTGGTTTAGCAGTTTAGCAGGCCTTGGAAGTGCTACAGAGACCTTTCAAGCAGCCACAAGGAAACAATTTTGGTTTTCGTTTCGTTTCATCAACAATCTATATAGGCAGCACAAAACACAAGTGACTGAGTTTGACTCCAATGAAGCGAGATAAATTTTGCTACAAAAAGCGAGATAAGTAGAAAATTTGACGCTAAAAAATATTTTAAATTCCAAAGTTCATATTGACAGATTACAGCATGCAACTCAGACAAACCAAGCTTATCTTTTTCTAGAAATGGAATTGGAGAATGATAACTACAATGCGTTGCTCCTTTCCATATATAGTACATTTGGATTATAGTGTTTACATGCTTCTTTTTGCTATTTATGCCGCCGCTCTTTGTTGCTTAGTTCCTCTCATCATTTGGAATTTCAAGCTAATATCGACCAGACCCTTGCCAACGTCCTCATATGGAACAAACATATGATACAATGTATGGTAAGTTTATATAAGTGATCATTTTGTTCTGTGTTTGGTATATAGTTCATATCACAATTCACAAATATATAATTTTATTTTTAAAATGTTAAAACCAGTATTGGTTAAAACACTTTCAAGGGTGCTTTCTGAAACAGTGATGCAAGGTGGGGTGGTCGCTTGCTGACCTATTACTTAGTGTGTTCAGTCTCGGGAATGGAATCAACCGACAACCGGGACAAAACCGGCAGAAGGAAGAGCTCCAGTTCTAAAATTTGCGTAAGGTGGGTTTCATGGGCAGATCCAAACTGTCTTTAAAAACACAGACGACTTACCACTATTTAAAACAAGGTGACTAAACTTAGTATATACCTAATCAGATGGAATGACTCATTCAACCATTCTTTGCCTTCTTCAAATTCATCTTGATTCATCCGTTCCACAGAACCCCCATATCTGTAGAAACCAAAACAAGGATTGCTAAACCAACAAGAATAAATAGCCAAAGTTCAGAGTAGAATCTATTCCAAAAGAATCTTCTGTTGACTTCACAGTTGATAGCACGTGAGCTTACTCTCTTCCTCAAAAGGAACTGTCCTTTCAAAGGCAGTTGCTTATTCTAGGTATCATATATGAGATCAGACACAAACAGAGATACACTTGCAGACTCTTATCCTTACCTGGCATCAAAGAAAGGTTTCTTAATGTGCTTCTCCAATAGTTTCCGGGCATGGTCTCTGACCTAAACACCAAAATCATCGTTATTTCGAGGTGTCGAATGAAATGAAAGGCTAGATAGCATTGATAATAAACAATGGCTTGCCTTGTTTTCCATCGAGCATAGTACAAATTTCCACCCAACCTGATTGTTTATATTACACAGTAATGCATCGATCCACTCACTTTTGCCGGAATTTGGTACTCCTGTTACTATGGTCAATTCCCCAGGAACAACCTGCAGGAAAATAAACAAAATCACATGAGAAATTGTGGGTAATGTATTGAAGTCTGCAACTATAGCGCTTCCAACGCGCTACAGTTCAGGCCATCTTTTTAAGCACGCTAGCCACTGAAGCTGGAAGCATATAATTGCTTTCAGCTAGATGAACAAGTCAGAAAACATGACTACATGCCACATGTCAACAGCTATTCCCAAAATTGGTTAAATAATCTGGTTTCATGTTGCAGTCAGAAAAAGACCTTCGATGTGCAAATAAAGAAAAGAAAAGGAACTCTTGACAGGAAGAAATCACCCAGTTGTTTTCAACAAGTATTAAGGAGTCAGAATACATGACTACACAGTATGAAGTTCACTGAAATTGGTTAAATGATCTGATTTCATGGCATATGTCAACAGCCATTGCGGTCATAAAACAAGCTTCTATGTGCAAAAGAAAACAAAGGAGCTCTTTAACTTGGCAAGGGACGAAGCCAGCTCGAACCGAGCAAAATTGGATGAAAAACAAATAAAAAACACAACTAATAGATACCTTGTAGAGCCCATCCATACATTTCCAACCAGTAGGAATTCCAAGCTCATCCCCATGAATTCCTAGATAATAACTGTCGATCTCAGGGAAGAAATCTTTGAAGTTGAATAGACCTCTTATAGGATACAGTTCGGCACCTTCTATAACCTCTTTCAATGCTTGTGGTCCTAAGAACATAAGTACCTGTAGTTGAAAAGGGAGTTACAAGGATCAACTACAGGACATGTAAGAACACCCAAAGTTCCAAAACAGAGCTAAAGATAATAGGAACTGAACTTAAATGTGGCTATATATTTCAGATGGTTCTTCAGAATGTAGATTAATTGCATACACAAAACCTTACAGGCTTTAACTAAGAACAACAAGTAGATTACTTTCAGAAAGCATCATAATACGTTAATACTACAATCTAGGATGAGGAGGTTAACATTTAGACTCTCGATACAAGTTAGCATAAGCTTATCGCTAGAGAGTCACATTAGGAGCAGGACATTTTTACACCTCTTACGCCCTGATCATACTTTAACATCAGAAATCTTTCAGCATGAAAGACAAGCAAAAGAATGATAGCAATATTATTTATTAGTCAAAGTTGCATATGCATGCCATAAAAAACCTCGTTAGCATCTTTGCAAAATTCCGTCTCATTCTTCTTTGGCCATTTGACCCTCCAACACCTGATTGCATCAAATTAAATGTGGAAAACGAGTTAAATGAGGACCTGCAGTCATAGGTCATTAAAGTAATTGTGGAGGCTTATGATTGCAACACAATGGCAGACAAACCTTTCTTTACCAAGACGTCGAGCAAGTTCCTCAGCAAGAGCCTGCCCTGGAGGATCAGCATCCGTTGCCAGTATTATCCTAGATGCCTAATACCATATATCCGAACATATTCAGTACACCAAACCTTGTATCTTAACAATAGAGTTTGCAAATAACTTTTGAAACGAGGAAAATGCGCACCGGATCAAGATACTCTTTGCAGTTCCACAGATATGAATACTTCTTATCCTAGCTTTACAGGGAATGTAAGAAGATGTTAGGTCACAGTTCAGGTTTCCAGTACAGACCAGCTCACATTAAAGGAGCTATTACTAATAAATAACAGTGGCAAACATAAACTCTAGTGACAAAAACTAGCAGCAGTATCAGAAAATGGTTCAAACATGATCTTTATCCGGGAGTTTGTTTGATACTTGCGCTGGTGCACCATCTGGCACACTCACACAATTACGATAGCCAGCCTCCTCCATGGAAAGTTTATCAATTTCACCCTCAACCTGCAATGTCAGAAAGGACAATAAGCTAGTAAATACTTTGTGAACTCAAGCTCAAATGGATTGGCAACAAAAAATAAATAAGAAAAATGTCGCATGGCTTACGTAGAACATACAATGATAATATCGCGTGCTTGCTTTATATCATCCAGACCATACAAAATTTTCTCTGTGTTCGCCTCCTGTTAAGAAAAAATGAGTATGAACAATATTCATAGAAATATAAATTAAGCATGCAACCTAAAAAGGAACAGCAGAACAAACCTGTGAAAATTTCTTAGAGACTTCCCTGTATTTGCAGCCAACAAGGACTTTATCACGTCTATATGTAAAAGCAATAACAATCTGCAAACGAAATACCATATTTGTGAATCCCAATGCATGTTTTTCCATTGTAAAAATGCATCAACAGTACAGTCATACCTTGTTATTCCTTTTACGTTGCGATACGTTGTTCCTTCGAAGTGTTTTTGCCGATATCATTCTTTCTGAAAAGTATGTCACAAGCTGCAAGAGATAACCATCTTACAGGCATGTGCAAAAGTTTTTGCCAGCATAAAACAAAGAATGCAAAAGAGAATTATGAAGATGGTTTCAGTATCATTTGAAGAATATACCAATCAAAAACGTCTACTTGATAATACTTCCATTACCTCATCACAAAGAGGTTCGAGACGCAGGTCCTCTTCACGAAGTTTTCTGATAACCTTGACTGGCTGATTTGCTTTGACTTCCTGGTCACTTTCATTTTCATTTCCCGGGTCCTTCTTTGCTTGGTACGCCTTCGAAACTCCATCAGGCTGCAGATGCAAGACAGAACAATAGTGGTATCAAGATGCTATATTACTTTCGGTTTTCTTTAAGTTGTTGGTAAACTCACCTGGGTATAGCCTTTCCATCCACAATTTGCTCTAAAACAAGTCCAGTTTCCATGTGTACTGAAGAAACAGCATAGAACAGAGATCAGATAACCTACAGTACATACTCCCTCCGTCCCAAAATTCTTGTCTTAGATTCATCTATATACGGATGTATCTAATACTGAAACGTGATACATCCGTATTGAGACAAATTTAAGACAAGAATTTTGGGACGGAGGGAGTATACCTTAAGAAACAACTCCAACTAACAAGCTCAAAGTGTGCTGTACATAAAAACTCACCCATCTTCCCGGATGAAGACGCTGAGGCTTCGTTCCTCGGTTGAGCCCCCTTCGCACTAGTTAACAGAAGGGAAATCATACTTAACCATTTGCTGTTTGATAGAATATAAAGTACAATGGATCACCAAAATAGCATATATTAATCTGTATTATATACAGATGAACATGTTTGTAAGCTGGTCATCAAATTGATCATAATGTGCAGCCACTTCATTTCAAGAACGCTCTTTTTGTGGAAGGCATGCTCGTTAATACATACTTCCAATGTGCACGATATGTGAAACAGAAATAAGCTAACTAAACCGATCAATACAAATTATGGCTGTGAATTCTTGATGTACTCAATCCAGACAAAGTAACTGTAGCTGTGAATTCTTGATGTTCTCAATCCAGAAACAATAACCCTTTTAGCTTATTTGCTTACCCAACTAAATACATCATGAAAAGAAAAGCAAATGGAAACAACAATTCTAGGTACCAGAAAAAGGCATACCTGTGGGCAAATCGTCCGTTGAAAAGTGCCAAGCCTCCATTGGCTCATATCTATCCCTTCCTTTTTCATCTTCTCAACTACCTGCCCTAGTCGTTCTTCACAGGCCCTTCTCTCCTCCATCGAACGAACTGTTATCCCAAAATGACAGCACATCAGTGAAAACAACAAGGATTCTACATCCAGTTATTACGAAGCATTAGCAAAGCACTGAAATGCGACAAACAGCAGCTATGGGGAAAAGCAGGTACGCCAGATTATTCACAACCGAGAGAGCTCAAATTCCGTAAAACAGAGTAAAACACTTTTTCTAAGCCACGAACCAAGATTTTTTCGAGCACGATCTCCCTTGATATCATATATATAAGAATGCAGGCTTCAGAACCATCTAATCTCACAAGCCAAAACTATAAGAAATGTAAGGTGCTACTGAAATTTCACTAAGCACTGAACCAGCAATGCTCGCTCGGCGCCAGGGCTCCCTGGCGATGCCGGAAGAAGAAGGAACTCCTGCGCCACAAAGCAGAACCAGCGGGTCTCTCAGAGTGGTAGGACGCGTCGCATTACCATTCCTGGAGCGCGGGGTCGCGGGGGCGGCGGCGGGCACGGCCTCGGCGGGGGCGGTCCCGAAGCAGCAGGCGAGCTCGGCCCGCCGGGGGAGGCGGGTCCGGGAGGAGAAGGAGTGGAGCAGGCGGATGCGCTGGCCGCCCGCGGTGGCGAAGGCGGCGGGGAAGCGGCGGCGCGCGGCGAGGAGGAGGCCCGAGCCCCCGGCGCCCGCGGAGGTGGAGGTGGAGGCGGCCATGAGGAGCAGCGACTGGAGGGACGGCCGCGGTGGCATGGCGAGGCGGGGTCGGGGGCTAGGGTTTCGGGGCCCGGGGCATGGGCTGGGGGCAGCGGAGAATGGGGGGTCGGAGGTCTTGGGGAGGAAGAAAAGAGAGGCGATGAGAGGAGGGGATTTTTGGATTGGATAGGAGGGGGAGGAGGGCGAGGGAAGGGTTTAGGGTTTTACGCGCCGGCCGCCCGGCCGCGTGTTCTCCGGCGTGTGCTTACACATGGGTCCCACTGTCCAGGGACGTGGGGAGCTTCCCGAATGACTCTTTTCTCCTTCTTTGTGTTGAAACATGGTGATAGTAGGATAGTGAGAGTATTTGGATTCATTAGCTAAATATATATACACGTGCAATTAATTGTCAACCTACATGAATACCCTACATTTACATACATTATAACTGAGCACCTTTCCAGCCCTTCAGGCTATTAACATTTTCAGCCTTTGGATCATCAATTTAGGACGTTTTTGACCATCAGATTTACTCTTAATCCCGCCTTTTTTTTAGACAAACTCCGAAGCTTTATTTATGATGTCACAATGTTTACATGGACGAAAGAGAGTCCGTCCGGCTGGCCCAACCAAACATGTCGGCCAGCCGGAAGGGATAAAGCGTGCCTCGCGATCTTGTGAGCCTCGATATTCGAGCTCCTAAATTCATGACAAAAATTACAAAAGTGGAAAGATGAACTATACTCTATTATTTCATGTATAACCGCTCCATACTCCGTTGGGTTCTTCTCTCGGATGTCGTCAACCACCACCTTCGAGTCCGATGCCACTTTTATGTCTGTAACATTCAGATCGTCAGCGAGGGCTAGTGCCTCCCTGACCGCCATGCATTCGAGTGTCGCTGGATCGGATATGCCACCGAAGACCACAGCCGATGCCCCAAAAACTGGCCAGCGCAATCCCTCGATCTCGCCGCAACAGCTCCATGTTTCCTTCCCCTCCCAACTGCAGCATCAACGTTTATTTTCGTCAGCCCCGCCGGTGGAGCGATCCAGCCCGTTGGTCGCTGCACAGGAGCGCCAGGTTGCCTCGCCGTGCCCGGATGAACAGCCTTGAGCTCATTGATATAAGACTGGACAAAAGCATGGACTGAAAAAGGACTCTGGTAAATGTGTTCATGGATCGCCTTACGTCGAGCAGCCCACAATGCCCAAAGTGTAACCACCAGGGTAGTAAACTCTTCATGCGGTAGAGCATTGTGCATGGCAAAAAGCCAGCTCTTTGCATCAGTTTCTTCGTTCCTGCTCACCACATCGATGATCTGCTCAGAAGACATGGCCCAAGTGCTTCGGGATATTGTGCAATTAAGAAAAGCATGCCTCCAAGTATCTTCAGCTCCGCAAAGGCAGCACGCAGGTGTATCCGCCATGTTACGATGATGCAGAAGTGCCACGGTCGGGGTGGTGTTCTTTGCAAATCTCCATAGGAAAATCTTCAGCTTCGAGGGTACTCTAATCCCCCAAAGCTTAGTCCAGCCCTCACTATCTCCATGTGAATGAGATGGCCCTCCTTGCTCATACAGCCAGGCTTCTCTGCTTAGTTTCTTCTGTTGAATCAGACGGTACGCAGTTCTTACAGTGAAGATACCCCTCCTGTCCTCACTCCAAGCCCAAAAGTCCTCAATTTGTCTAGTGCAAAGAGGAATTTGTAAGATTGTCTCTGCATCGATTGGAATAAAGGTTGCCCGAACCAGCGGTTCATTCCAAGAGCATGTGGTGTGGTTAATAAGTTCTGAGACTAGGTGAGGTGGATCATGGGCCAGAGATGTTATCGGTCTCTTCATCACCGTGCGGGGTAGCCATTTATCATGCCATATATCCATGGTTTCCTCGTTTCCTATCCTCCTCACTAGTCCTTGCACCATTATGTCACGGCCATCCAAGATAGCTCGCCAAATTTGTGATGGATGACTGCCCAGCCGAGCTACAATAGAGAGTCTTCCGGGAAATAGACACCCTTGAGGATGCGGGCACTAAGCGACGTGGGGTTCTGAAGCAACTTCCACGCCCGTTTCGACAGTAGGGCAAGGTTAAAGATATCCAAGTCCCTAAAACCGAGCCCGTCAAGGTGTTTTGGCTTTGTCATCTCGTCCCAGGCTACCCAACTTGGCTTGCGCTTCCTCGCCAAAATTGTCTGATCAGGGAGGTGATGTTCTCGCATAATCCCCTTGGGAGGCGGAAACATGACATAGAAACCGGTATAGATCGCGCCACCGCCTTAATGAGCACTTCCTTTCCTGCTGCAGACAAAAGTTTTTCCATCCACCCTCTAATTTTCTCCCACACCCAGTCTCTCAAATATCGGAAAGTGCCATTCTTTGCATACCCAACATCAGTAGGCATCCCCAAGTACCTGTCACTGAGAGATTCATTATGCACGTTCATAGTGTTCTTGATATTGTCTCTCATGACCTGAGGGCAACCTCTGCTAAAGAAGATAGAAGACTTCTCATGATTTATGCGCTGACCTGATGCCATATAGTAGCGTTCCAACAAGTTTGATGCTGCAACAGCCCCTTCAACACTCGATTTAAACATCAACAGGCTATCGTCGACAAAAGGAGGTGGTTCACGACTGGAGCCGTGGCTGCCACCTTGATCCCTTCTAGCTGAGACGACGAGGAACTGGATTTCAGTAGGCATGAAAGGCCCTCTGCTGCGATTAAAAAGAGATATGGGGATATCAGATCTCCCTGCCGTATACCTCTGGATGGGTAAAAGGTGTCGAGTCTCTCACCATTAAAGAGCACTAAAAAAGAAACTGACCTCACCATGTTCATTACTATCTGGACCCATGATGTAGCAAAGCCAAGCTTTATCATCATTGCATGTAGATACTCCCACTCTAGCCGATCGTATGCCTTCATCATATCGAGTTTTAGGGCACAGAAGGAGTTGACCCTGGCCCGGCTGCGTTTCATAAAGTGAAGACACTCGTATGCACTAATGATATTGTATGTAATATTCCTGCCTGGCACAAAGGCTGATTGCTCCTCTGAAATAATGTCTGGAAGAATTTGCTTCAGTCTGTTCGCAAACACCTTGGACGCAATCTTATATAACACGTTACATAAACTGATTGGTCGGAATTGAGTGAGCATGGAAGGGTTCATTACCTTAGGGATAAGGACCAGGACCGTGTCATTTATGCTTTCGGGGCTATCCTCTCCCCAAATTATCCTGAGGACCGCCTCTGTAACCTCGGCACCGCAAAGATCCCAATGGTGCTGATAGAAATGAGCTAGAAATCCGTTGGGTCCCGGTGCTTTGGTGGGAAACATCTGAAAAAGGGTTGCTTTAACTTCTTCTCCCTTGTATGGTGCAGTGAGTAACTCGTTCATCTCATCGTAACTTTGGTTGGTACACAGTTGAGGACCGCTTCCATATTGTTACACCCTCTGAAGTATACAGAGTTTCATAAAATTCCTGTACCAATGCTTTCAGCTCCTTCGGATTATCTGACATGACACCAAGGGAATTTTGTAGGGCCTTTATCATATCCTTCTTTCTCCGTATGCTTGCTCTCAAGTGGAAAAATCTTGTATTTTTATCGCCCGACGTTAGCCACTCTATCCTGGACCGCTGCCTCCATAGAATCTCCTCCCGATGGTAAAGTTCAACTAGATTTTCGTTTATCTTCAGCTCAACATGGGAAGGAGCCGTTCGACTTGGGTCAGCGCGAAGCTTCTCCAGCTATGTTTTCAGCCTTTTAATCTCTTTCCGAACGTTCCCGAAGGTCTCGTTGTTCCAGCGCCCCAAATCATGAGGTATTGCTTGCAGTTTAGCCCGCAACTCCTCCACTCTATTGCTGATCCCCCCGTCTGTCCATGCTGAATTAATGGTGTCGCTCCACGACTCATGCCCTTCCCACATTACCTCATATCGGAAGGGTTTGGGCTGTCGGCCGCTGGGCTGCTCTCTGTTCAATCGCATTAGAATGGGACTGTGGTCAGAAGATGCTGCTGTGAGGTGTGTCAAGTCAGCAAGAGGAAACCTTGCTCTCCAGTCCGCATTGGCAAGTGCAGGATCCAGCCGGACCTTAGTATATGATCATCCCCTTACTTTCTTTTCAAAAGTCCAAAAATGGCCCGAATAGCCTATGTCTAGCAACATGCAGACGTCAACCGTGTCATGAAAGTGTTGTATCTGTGCGTTGCTCCTTTCTCCCACCCCCTCATGTTCATCGGGACGCAATACTTCGTTAAAATCACCAATGCAGAGCCAAGGGAGGCTACTCAAAGTATTGATATTTTTCAAGGTATCCAACATTTTATATCGAAGATGTGTTTGCGCCTCACCATAAACTACTGTAACTCTCCATGGATCATGGCCTACCTCCTCAACCGAGCAATCAACATGGTAATCCGAATAACCAAGAATTTCCAATTTTATTACATTGTTTCAAAAAATTCCAATACCTCCACTTCTACCACGACTGTCAATCGCAAAACTATTATCATACCCAAAGGTGCCTGCTAGCGCTTCTACCCTCGTGCCTTCTAGCTGAGTTTCGACAATACATAAGAGGGTAGGGGCAAATTTGTTCGCAAACTCGTGAACCTCTCGAACTGTTGCGGCACTGCCCATGCCCCGACAGTTCCAACAAAACGCACTCATTGGGCCCGGCGGTGCTCCTCGAAGGAGCCCGCCAAATTCTTCACTGCTAAGATTACATCCTTGGAGTCCTCACCCGTCTTCTTGGTTCTCTTCAGGTCCCTTCGCGGTGGTGGACTCACAGCCGTCAAGCCCACCGGAACAATTGCAAGTGAGCTCGTGTTGGTCTCTGTTGTTTCAGAAATTTGTTGAGGCATTGCACCCTTAGCACCCAGCTCGGCTCCCGCATTCCTCTTTATATTCACCTCCTCCATGTCTGCATCTCTAGCCATCCTGCTTGGGTCCACTTGAACATGGTATGCGCCAAGAGAGTCTGTCATGTTGCCTCGGCCTCCTTCGGAGCGACCACTCGACCGGCCACTTGAACGGCCTCCTCTGTCACCT